AAGAAACTTAAGTAATCTGCCTCTTTCTGAGTAATCATAGTTTAATCTTTTGACTTTTATAAAAAACCCCTATAAAATATAATTTGCTCTTACAATCAACTTTTTCAGTGCAAAACTAACTGTTAAGATATAAATTAATGTAAACAAAACAACATGCTCTTTTCTACAAGCTTTTTCTACAAGCTCTTTCAAGAACTTTTCTATCCCAGCAGCCACGAACCAAAACGTTGGGTACTTAAAAGCAAAACAACCATTAAAGGCAATCAGTAGCAAAACCCAACTTTTTTTTATAGCAGTATCTACTATTAAACAACTCACTACATAACCAGTAAGCCCATTAGAGCCACATGTCAAAGATGCTCTGTAAGCTGAACAGGCGAAACATTTCCACAACGACTGCAAGCCAGCAAAGCGCTCCATAAGATGTCAACAGGGAAATACAATTCAGTCTTAATAGGTTCAGAGCTTATGTAAGCCATGCTTATGGGATAGTCCATTTAAAAAGCAAGTGAGCAAGTGACATTACTGTAAACACAACCTGCAGCTTCCTAGAACCTGCAGGCTAAAGACATTCAGAACTCCACTCAAAGACACTGTGCTAGCTGTAAGGTTCACATGTTCTGGACCAAAAATGAAAAGAAATAAAAATATATTCCAGTACAGTGACCATTAAGGTCATATTCACTCCTCTACAGAAGAGAGATCTGGAATCCCTTCAGCCCCATGAATGGCTTAAGAAATAAAATCATTATAACCAGCCCATGTGCCTTTCTTCTAGTAAAACATCATCTGTTCTTCTGCAAAAAACAGTAAGCCTGCATTCCTATTTAGTAATGCAATGTTATCAATTTTGTACTTGGGATATGAACAAGTTTCTCTGGGTGACAACTTGGTTCATTGAATTAAAGCCATGGACCAATCTGAGATATGCCATTTCTGGATAAAAAAATTTGCACACATCCACCAGGAAAGGGAGAAAAAAAACATCTTGAGAACTCACCACTAGGTTTCCTATCACCATGACCAACAAGAAGACGAGAAGGCACAGTGGCTGCCCAGCTACTTCCATGCAGTCCCACATGGTCTCAATCCACTCCCCACACAATATTCGGAAGATGATGAGGAACGAGTGGAAGAAATCGTTCATGTGCCACCGTGGCAAATTGCCAGTCGTACTTATCTTCTTCACATTGTCCATGTAGCTTTTCCCAAAAAGCTGCATTCCTACCACAGCAAAAATAAAGACGATGATTGCCAGCACAAGAGTGAGGTTACCGAGGGCACCCACGGAATTGCCAATGATTTTAATGAGCGTATTTAAGGTCGGCCAGGACTTTGCCAGTTTGAAGACTCTCAGCTGTGAAAAAAACATAAACAACAGTGTCAGTTCACAGAAGCAACAGACATTTCAGCTGATGAATTATTAAAATGGGTAACACGTGAAAGACGTTAAATGCCACAGCGTGTGCGGAACAAGGTGATTTTAGCCATGCTTCCTGTTAACCTCACTTCATCTATTAATAAAATATCAGTTGGGCTTCTTGGATGAGGATTAACTTCTCCAGAGCTATGCTCTGCCTTGTTAGATAGACGTGCTTTTAGAGGGTCATTCCCCCAATACCACTGTGGGGAGAGGATGGAAGGAGGAAATCTCCGGTCTTAATATTTTCTTTTACGCTGCTTTTCCTCCTCAAATTAAACAGTCTGGCAGGCATCTGGGGGAAGGGGTTTAGGGTTCAATCCCACAAAGAGAGAAGCAATTCCTCTGTGTTTCAGAGCAAGCCTCAGCCAAATGCTATTAGCTGTTAGCTCCCAGGGTGAAAATCACCTCTGTGCTGAGGATCACGCAGTCTATGCACAACCCACGTCCCACTTAAGACCTATTTTAAGGATGTAAATGGTTCCTAGCCCTTGTGCTGTATTTTCAACTGAAGGTTTAATTTCAGCCCTATTGAAGAAGGATTGCTCAAGAACTGACAGGACACTCTCAGGACCCAGCAGCAGTGGTGAAAAATTGGCATTTTTGAGCAGCGCAGAGAGTTTTGGAAAAAAAAGTCTTCTGCTAAATGTAACCATAAGGGCTTATTTTTCTGGTCTTTCCAAGTTGTGAAGCCATATCATGGCCAGAATGATTAGCATGGACATCCTGGTACATGAAGTGCAACACAAATGTCAGGCTGGCAAGGAAACTGCTTTTCTGTTCCAATATGTCAACAGTCTCATTAATAGAATACCACTATCCCGTGCATAACAAAGGAGCTGACAGCTAAGGAGTTCCCGTGAAAGACAGATGCTATGTTATGCTGATCAGTTCTAGAAAAAAAAATCACTCTGAATAATTCAAAGACATTTTCTTTTGACAACATTTAAAAGAATGGTGGCATGTTTATAACATAATTTAGGAATAACAGCTTCCAAAACGACAAGTTACTGGCTCTTCCATTTCTTGGGCTATCAATTATCTGCTGACTATGCTAACAGGGGTACAGGTATAAAATGGCAGATTTTTATTACAAATTGGAACTCAAACATTTTAAGTGTGCTACAAGTACCTGGCACAGCTAGAGGGAATCAAATTATGTTCTCATTTACCCTGATGTAAATCTGGAACATTTCCATTTATCCCACAGCCTACAATTAGTGACAGGTACTGTTCAGGAGTTTGCAGCAATTGAAGTCTTTATCGGTAGATGTGTTTTTAAGAAAATATATTACATTCATGTTAGAGTTTGTATGTAATAAAAGAAGAGGGGTAAGAACAGAATAAAGCTGTTACCAGTCGAAAGGAGCGTAAAACAGACAGATTTCCCATGCTGGACAAACCCAGTTCCATCAGGCTTAGTATAACAATTATGCTGTCAAAAATATTCCAGCCCTGCTGAAAATAGTAGTAGGGGTCAAGGGCAATTACTTTGAAGATCATTTCTGCTGTAAAAATCCCAGTGAAGACCTGCAGAAAGAAAATATGAAGTCAAAGCAACCTTTTAAGCACACCTCCTTGCTTGCAGACTTTCCACTGATACAGGTGAACAGAGCAGAAAGCCAAAAACCTTTTACAAGCAAATACTTTATTTTTCATGGCTGATTCTTTATCACTGTTACAACTTTGTCTAGTCTTTTCACAGTAATATTCAATACTGCTGTAAACTTACAATGACATCTGAGTTCAAGCTCTGGATTAGAACATACATTTCCATCTCCTTCCGTCATCTGAATAATCCCAGTGGGAAAAAAGAAACGTAAAATTGCCTTTTATAAAGGTTAAATTTATTCATTTCAGTGGAGAAACCCGAATGAAGGGAGCGGGAGCGTTAAAGGGGTATTTGGGTTGTAGTGTATCTGCTGTATTATCTCTTTTTATTTTGTTGTTATTATTATCAATACCTGGGCAACGCAAGCCTCCAGTCATTCTGAGGTTATGGGTGGCAGCGAAGGCGACTAGAAACTCTAATTTGAGTCCTAGTCTTTTTTTACAAATAGTCACGGCAATTTTCTTTTCACAGCATCTTGGGAACACATTGCTTATTTATGACCCAGTTCAAATGTCATATGGTGGAAGTACTAATTGGAACATTTTTCTTTAAAACAACATATAAATATTACCTATGAGGCAGAGGGAGAGGGAAATGGAAGGTTGCTGACAGCAAATTCAGTTTTAACACATTCCTGCAAAGTAACTCAGAGAATCAGATCTTGTTCTTTCCTATGCCCTCCTTAAGTACTAGTTTAAATGCTCAATGCAAGGCTAAGTCAATGTAAAATGACAAAATGTGGGCATCAAGTTCTTCATATACTGTTTTATTTTCATTCCAAGTCCCAGTACAAGGTACACAGAGCTTTGTGTTTCTGAAAAATTCTCTATTGAACTTATATATTAAAGCACATGGTTTTCCACACAACAGCCAATATCAATGCACTGTGTAGGTCAAAAAAAGCGGGGGGAATCCAGAGCTTACATATCAGTAACATACAGTCAAGGAGAAATGTTTTCCTTCCAATAAGCTGAATATTCATGGCAGTATCCCAGCAAAACTGATCAACTTTGATCAACAAAGATGAGAAACCCATTAAGATGTTAGATGAAGGGAAAAGTTAAGATTATATAATTAAGATAGTAAGGAATAAAAATAAATTATCATAGCCTGCATTTGAGGAAGGCTTGGCTTTACTTTATAATGCTTCAGGAATGAATTCCTCCAAGCAGCCATCTTACACCGTACCTTATGTAAAATACCTTCTCTTTCTCATCAGGAAAATAAAACCTTGGGCTGCAACAATTTGGACTGTCATCCCATCACCATCTCATACCAAGAACCCAACAAAACAACCTGTCTCATATTTCTAACTAGCCAACAATTTCTGAGTCACAGTGGTCAGAGATACCAAAGATTCCCACCAGAATGCTCCAATTTCCCTTAGGACTGAGAAGAAGACGAAACTGGATGTCTGTGAAATTGTATCCAGGGGCCTGCCTTAAAAACCACAATACCACGCTGCGTACATTATGCAACCATCTTGCTGAGAAATTACTCAGGAGGATCACTTTCTTTGCCTGAATCATTTCAATCAATAGCCTTCTGAGAAGGAAATGTCACAGTAAGATAGCAAAATGTCTGAGTCTTTCTAAAGCCATCAGGAATCGTGTACGTGTACCAGCTATGAATTTCAAATGGCAGTTGTCAAATCGCCGGCACCTGGTACGCAGCAACTGCGCTTGGACAAGAGGCTGGATACTCAATACGATAAAGCTGGAAAGAAAACAAGTAACGTAACATCCCACTGGTGCTAAATATGCCAGTGCTGATTTGGAGGACTTTATCTTAAAAAAAAATTATTTGATCTACCATTTCAACTATTTAAGCTCTAATACAGCATAATGGTATCTCAGCTTCTAAAGGCAAACAAAAATTGGGAGAATCTTGCCTATCTATTTTTTATGTGGTGGCACTGCACAAGCAGATGAACCATATAAAGATGTACATGTGCTTGGCTGGCCTTCTGATCACATTTGAAAATGTTGATTCCTGTAAGTGATGAACTAAAGGAGTCTGAAGGTAGCAGGTGCTGCATAAAGTAGACAGACAATCAGAGCAGGAGATCTCCAATAACTGGCAGCAGACGAAGAATTGCTCTCAGAGAAAGTGAGTCCATATTCCACTTTCATTCTTTCATTTCTCTCAGAAACATTTGTTTTGAGGAAAAAATGCCAAAGATCTGCCCTTTTTAATATTTCCCCCATTTAATGCTGGTATAATCACTCAAAGAGGGTTAGATGCAATGGGAAGACAGCCAGCCAGCCAGCATGGGGGCAGAGGAGGGGTCTGGCAGTCTGTGGCTTAGGGGATGCAGTCACCTGGCAGCTTGCCTTGGAGCTGGGACTCCCTTCCCTTTCACAGGGGTTGCAAAAAATGTCAGTTTTCATTTCAAATGACTTTGCACAATCCTCCACAAAATGGAATTACCTTCCTCTGACCTGGTCTACTCGCAATCAGTCCAGTTATGCAGGGATTTAGTAAAGCTGGTGAGGGGGAGCTGGGACAATCTGGCTTCTCACAGACCCATCCTGGGATCTCAGGGGAAGGGGAGCCCTATGCCATCAGCACGATACAAAAAATATTAGCAGGCTGTTTTGCTTATTTTACACTTTAGCACAAAGAGAAGAAATAGCTCTAGGCAGTGCTGAGAAACTCACAGTGAGGTAATTATTTTTTTTTTTTTGCAAAATTTTGCAAAATTTGCTTTGCAGTTCCTCCCCCTGCTCGTTGTCTCTATATCCTTGTTGGCATCCAGCACAGCCCCGCACGTCCCTGGCAGGTCTGCAGGAGCCATGTTGGCAGAAGGGATGCAAAGGGCTAAAGTTTCACTGCCTGTGGTCTGCAAAGGGAGAAGCTGATCTGCCACAAGCAGAGCAAGGAGCAGACACATTTACTATCTGGAGTGCCAAAGGGGGAAACAGCAGCATTGCCACCTGCTCTGATGGATACTGGGTCCAAAGGAGTTTTTTAAAGTCATCTCAGAAGGCCACAAATTGTTGAGCAACATCAAGGAAGGCTGGCTCCAAAGTAGAGCTGGATGCAGTCCAGTGAGATGACTTTCCGAGCTACCTGTATCTACTGCTTTCCACAGAGGGCAAGAGCATGGGTCTGAAGCAAGAGAGGAACCAAACAGATTTTTTCTTAGCACAACAACAGAGGGAGATTTGCCAAGACACAGCAGCTGAAAAACTGGAGACTGGTTCCACAGCCTAGGAGAAGAACCTCAACCTGCCCAAGGAAGCACAGAGCTAAGAATAACAAGGGCTAGGGTAAACAAAAAAATCCATACGTAATGTAGTACCACATATTCTGGGACTGATACAAGAAGTCTGATTATTGCTACTACCCACCTAAGCCTGCCAGCGTAGGATGCTTCTCACTAAAGGTAGACATCACATCTGTAGTGTCTCTGCATACTCCCACTATAGTCCATGGTCACTACAGTCACTGGCCTCCAGGACATAGTTCACCTTATCCAAAAGTAAATGTCTTTAAAACATTACATTAATTGTGCCTTAAAATTGTCCATTACTCTCCATTGACTTTAAAGAGAGACAAAGGCAACCGGCTCCGACAGACTCCTACTCTGTAAATACCTAAAGTTAGGCAGGGTGAATCCCACTTTGAGATGCTGCAGCATTCAGTTTTATAGAAATAAAGGGCTTTTCTCATCTCTGCTACGAGATTCTCAAATTCAAACTTAGCAGCATCCATGTTCCAGGGTGCTCCAGAATTACTTATGGTAACCTATAGGATATCTCTGCTTCTACCACTAGATTTTAGGAGCAATTCTATCATGCCATAGCTAGACGGCATGTGCCTTTTCCAATATAGACTATTCTAAAATTAAAAGGGTTTTAAACATTGAGTTTTAAAGCAGTAAAACACAGTAACTTTTAAACATAAGCACAAGGAAAGACGATTAAAGAAAAAGCTTCTGTTTTGTAGTAACTGCAGAATTTTAGTGGCCCCCTGGGTTAACAAATTGTACCGTATTGCCTCTGGAAAGGCTTTTCTGCTGTCCCTGCAGCTTGGCTGTGGATCTGTCACTCTGTTTTCCTCGGAGAAGTGTGGTCTGTGCTTACGTTGCAGCACTCTCTCTGGCTGCTCCAGCTTGCACATTGAGTTTCCCCTCGAAGCATCAGCCATGCTTTGTTTCATGTCCCCTCTGCCCTGGGGTTTGTGTGGGACCCAGCACACACAGCTGGACAAGGCAGGGAGGCAGAGCAGGACACAGAGGGGCATACAGCAAATGTACCATGGGCACCTTCCCGCATACATATCTAGATACGTTCAAACACCGCTCTATTTCCCTCCAAGATCTTGCCTTGTTTTTTTCTGTAGGGTTTTTTAACTTAAAAATCACTATTAGTCACCAAGAACTGATGCCTTATCATTGCTTTAAAAGAAATCCCAAATAAACCTCATTAACTTTTCTCTTATCTCATTTTCTTAAACTGATACAAACTAGAAACCTACGAGGAACAGCCCAGAAACATGGCTTTAATGGTTACTAATAACATTAGAATATGTTCGTTTAATAAAAATAGACCCTCATCCTTCATTCATTTCTCTTCACCCCCAGAAAGAGGTGACTATGCGGACTCTCTTGGCAGGTTGTAGGCAAAGCGATGCTAGAGCATATCAAAATGAGGTCTTCCCAAGCCACAGCCAAACCTTTAAAAAGCAGGAAATAGACTCCTCAGGTAGCACTGCAAGTTCACATTCACTTACCAAATTGCCTATGTAAAGCATGTGGTCAAACTCCTTCGTCATCTTATAATGCTCCAAGGCCATGAAGAGCGTGTTCAGCACAATGCAAAGGGTGATGGTAAGGTCGGTAAATGGGTCCATTACCACAAACTTGACAAATTTCTTGATTAAAAGCCAAAGTGGGCAGCAATCCCAAATGAGAAATTTAACAGCAAAGTGGTTCCAGCAGGGAGGACATTTCTGGTGTGATTCCTCAAGCTCTAAGTCACAAGCAGTAAAGTAACAGTCAATTCACACTGAGTTATATGACAAGAGAACACTTAAAATGACTCATAACATAGAGGAAGGCCCCTGAATTACCCCAAACTTTTTTTTAGGATAAAAATATTTCTGTCCTAACAGGCTGGCAAATTATGCACTTTGGGTTTTTTGCCAGTTGACCTGCACTTAGCAGACAGTGACCTATTCTGAGAGTAATAACCTTTTAAAAGTGTCACCAGCAAAAATGGAGAATCACACTAAATATGTAAAGTCTAGCATTATATATAGGCTCAGACTTTTACTCTGTTTTCCATTTTGGCAAATTCAAATGGATAAGAATACACTACCTTCATTTAACTTAGATTAGAATACATTTTTTTCATTCCCAGGTCCCATTTTAGAAGTACCTTAGGTAATACCTTTTAAAACGGTTAAGAGATGAAAGACCTTAAAACCAATATTTAGAGCTGATTTAAGCGCTTAAGAGCCAGAGTGTCAATGGTTATCAATAGGTTTTCTGTTCTTGATGTGCAGTCCAAAAAGGCATTAAGCATCTGTTTTCTTCTGAAAGGCCCACATACAAAATCAGGGGAGTGCATAAGTCAGTTTGAAAATGCTGCTAAAGCTCCAGTGTGCTTTTAAAAGGTGCTTTTAAAATATTACCTAAAATACAACTTTTATATATTCATTTTATTTAAGCACAAAAGAAGTGAAATAGCTTCATAAGTATAATTTGTGTTAAACAGTGAAAAAGAAAAGCCAAAAGAGACAGTTAATGGCCGAATGATAATGATTAGCCGAATTGCTTAATGCTTTCCTTTTCTGATTCCTTTATGGGCATGGAATGCCGCATAACGGTTTTAGTCTATATAATTAGAACCTGCACTGATAACAGGAAGACTTCAGCCAAGGCTGTTATTTCAATCAGCTTATAAACAGCCTCTTCTCTCAAGCCAGGATGCATTCTCCATGCATTTTCCTTCATTGGAAAACACAACTGCAGTATTAGGTGTCTTCTGGCAAGCTTTCAAAATACCGGATGATGTCCTCCATGCGCAGGTTTTGCACAAACATCTACACTGCTCCGAGATCTCTGGGGAACCAAATTGTTCCCAAGAAATAACAATGTCTTTCCAGCCTTCAAACAGAGGGTTTACAGGTAAGTGTCTAAAATGATGTGAGAACCATCCATACCACAAACAACTTCAATGCAAAATCCTAATTTTGCATTTTTTTTGAAACGCACCTAAAAGTAATAAAGACTCTGGGGCAGTCACTTCCTAAAGGACCTAATTTTTCAAGCAAATCCAGAAGAACACATCTGTCTATATCCATAGTCCTCATAATCACTTCTAACCAATCCTGGTTATTCTACCGTTATTAATTTTGGGACCTTCATGATGGACACACATCAGATATGTGACTCTTTTCTCTGAGGCTCCACATTTGACACAAGCCCCTTTAAGTCAGGTTGCTGCTGAAAGGGGTAGTTTCATTCCTCTCAGCGACATGGTATTTCTCTGTCCTTTTGCCAGCTTTTGTGCTCCTAGACCCTCTGGGTGAGCTGGTTCTGCTCACTGATCCAGCTGAAAACCAATTTCTTGCACAGTCAAATCAAGCTGCAGGAACACAGCGAGGGGAGGAGAAAGGTGTGAGTGTATTCTTTTGGCAGTGATGTGGCATTAAAATGGTTTAAATAAATCAAGAACCCACATCCTTTCCCCACAACAGGTGACCTTCAGAAATCATGACAGATTTAATAGTTTTTGAAAGGCATCTGCAAAAGGAAAAGTAAAATTTGACTCAACTGCTTTTTTTCTGCTACTTTATATTATTTTAAAAAAAAAGGGCAGATAAACACAGTCAAAGTTTGTGTTGGAGGTATTTTTCCTCTTATTTTTAAATTAAAAAAACCCTAGGTTCTTCCTTGTTTGCAAGGCTTTGCAATGTCTGGGAAAAACAGGCAAATGTTGACTACCCAGGAGCCGAGAGCAGAAACCAGGTAACTAAACGGGAAGGAATTTCTGGTCTGGCTGTTTCACACAGTCTGGCACAAATCATATGGCTATTATTAAAGTTAAAGCTTGTGATAAATTTTATTCTGGTTTGATATTTCTCTTGTTGTTAACAAGTATTCAATTTCAATGACTAAGCAATGTCTGGGAGTTAGAAAACCCTTGATAAGGATTGAAACATCTTTCTTCTGTATGAGGCTAAAAATGTACATCCTCTGAGTTACCCTAGACATGATGGTCTCTATTTCTGTTGTAAAAAGTAATAGAAAGTACCATTGAATAAATAAGCAGAAGTCCAGATCAGGCCTTCTAGGCATTCTTACCATATTACAACGAAGTAAATCAATCACATAGCTAATTGCTAAAAACCCCACAGAAAACAAATAAAACCTTTGCAGACTACAGTAAACACTGGAATACATTGAAGTGATTATTTACCTATTAAGAATACAACTCTTTATTTATTTAAACATATATATATATCTTCTGGCCACAATACTGCTGAATATAACCACAGAGGATGGTAAAAAGCTGAGGAAGAAGAAAGGCTTTGTGGTTTCGTGCTGGGCTGTCTCCAAAGAGCCAGGTCCAGTCCCTTTCTGTAAGGCATCTCCCAGATAAGTCCCTTCGTCTTGCCTTGCCTTCCTACTCATCAGTAACACAGAGAATAAGGCTGCAGGAGAATCCAAAATTTCCCTTGCTCCACACTGCATTCTTGACAGATATTTTTCTCCACTCTTAGTTGCTACCTCCTATCTTGTGTCAATTTACAATGTAGGAGACCCAAGGAACTGTAAGAAGCCCTTTCATGCTGTGTGTAAAGAGCCTAGAAATGTGATGTCTTGCTATGAGTTGCTGTCTTGCTATCAATAAATCTGTGAAAGGGAAATGCAAAGTTCCTGTGTATGGAAAGACAGGGAAGGGAAATCCTCCTGCAGCTAATGAGAAGCCTAATGAACAATGGAAAAATTTGCTGAGAAATATGTGCATGCACAAATGGGTCCTTTAAGCATCCTTAAATTCCATGCTAAGATTCAAATACCCACAAAATTGTTGTGTCCCACCAGCTGCTCTGCAAGGAGGAGACTTTCCTCCTCCACTACTTGGAAGTTCTGCACGTAGCTGGTGACTGCACACGCCAGGCTTCGCATCAGGTCCAGAGAAATGAGATATAAATGTATGTACAGTCACCCAAACAGTATGGTGCTCCACTACCCTGCATCTTGGTTAGGCCTGTGTAAATCAGATACCATGGGGGCACAAAATAGTACCAGATCTGACTTCGATGGCAAGCATTTTGTCAGGATTTTTACAAGTCCATGGATAAGATAGTGATTATATTGCCTTCTGCTACAGCTTCACCTATATTGCAGGGGTTACAATAACTATCTATAATGCCTTCTTGCAAAACAATGAGAGTTTAATATTAGGGTCTTTTGTGTCACTTTGTTCCTGCCAGTCAATATGCATATGGCTTTGAGTTGGGGAACTAAAGACGTGTCTTACCTTCCAGGGCGCTGGTGATGATGCTGACAGCGCTCACTGCCCTCTGCCTCTGAAAGGGTTCATCCGAGTGGTCCACTGACGGGCGGTGGGGCATTAAAAGCTGCTTCTTGCTTGCCTCGTCCGAGGGAGAGGTCTGCTTAAATGAACACATTGGATCAGCAGAATAAAAACAAGGCAGATACGTGGTAGCATTTTCAAAATTGCCTAAGCCCTGTTTTTCCCATCTGAGAAGTCCAAAGCTCACTGATTTCCCAATTAGACACATGCTGATGGGGTACTGCTTTTGAAAATGGTACTTTGAGCAATTTTGGAAACTTTGCCCTGCCCTTTACCTTCATGTAAATAGGTGAAAGATGCAGGTAAAAATAAAGGGATGCTTCTGATGCCAGAGAAACAGCAGTGCTGCTTTACCATGCTCTTTGCTTGTGAAAGAAGCCCTGCTTAATTACATTAATTATTCCATTATTTCTGAAATGTATTAACTGTTTAATTATACTGCCAGAAGAGGAAAAGGGGCGTGGGTAACAGCTCCATTACAGGCCTCTGATATCATACCAAGCGAACTGACTCCTCAACACATGTTTTTTCTTGTTCTGAAACACTGCCAGATCTCAGGAACATATTGTCATTCTGGTGATCTTTGGTGTCACGGATTCTGAAGCTCCATAATTAGGGGAGAATCTCAGCTTCTTTTCTCTCAGGAAAAATAAAAAATAACCCAAACTATCTAGTTCTCATGTTTCTCAAGTAAAAGCTTAAAAAAAACCCAAAGAAATAAAATACCAGAAAAACAGAACTCCCAGACTGTCTTTATTTAACGTTTCATTTTAAATTAGCTTTATGCTTTTTGAAGGCTTGGGTTTCTGAAGTCAGCCATAAACACAGTATAACTGCAGACACACACTGTACTAAATATATTCACAGCTCACAGGAGCAAGATGTTAAGACTTTTATTATTACAAGCTCTCACTTCATACAGAGACAAATCCTGCCTGCTTTACTCCTCCAGCTCTCCCACAGGTAGAAGGAAATGTGGTGGTTAAGGTGTAAGGATCTGGGAAAGCCAAGTTCAACACCATTCTCTGTCTCAGATTTCCTGGTTGAAACACCCAGTCTCCCAAAATAAATGTTTTAACAGCCCCCGTCCTGCTTCTCCAAGCATACAGACTGTGAGCTCCGAGGCACTATGTGAGCAAGAGATGCACTGTAGATAGATGGGTCCTGATAGCTCTTGCAATATAGCTCGAGGAAATATGAAAGGAGAAGAGATTCCTATGAAGATGGAAACCTCTGGTTTATGCAGATGTCAGAGTATCTGGTTTTGCTTCTCTATAGTCAAATGAGCTACAGGAATTCAATTCAGTCTTCTGGATCTTCTCTCATCACCTGGGTCTGAAATGTCCCTAACCACCCTGAGCAGCACCCAGGATGCCAACCAAGACCTGCCATGGGCAGCAGCTTCACAGCTCTGCTGTCTGTGCCTGGGCCATGCACCCAGAGGGACTCAGGATCCCTCCTCTTGGCCATTTCTCTATCAAAACTGCTCTTCAAGAAAGGCAGTTCCATGAGAACGACAGGAGAAAAGCGCTGAAGCTCTACAAGCTGAGCGGTCTTTCTGGAGTGTGATCTCTTCAGGGCAGGGGACATCCACTTGTCAGGCAAAGGACAAAGACAGTTGGCCACTGGTTGATACTGAAAATAGCCAGGACACTGGTCCCAGGTCACTTCAAAGTACTGCAGTTAAAAATACCAATCACTGCAAGACCAGAGAAGAGTAAGGACTTTTAAAGCAAGCACTTAAAACATTAGCTAAGCCAGGAAGGCAGTAATGCTTCAAAATGGCTTTTTAACTTTTTTTTTTTTTAGAAAATGTTCTCTTTTGTTAAAACAATTGGCTCATTGTCCATTGAGTTACTGACATAGTCATCTCAAAAGGAGAGGTGTCATCAGAACCTATTCAAAGAGACTCCTACTTGTGCACAACATAACAAGAAAACATTTTATCCTTGGCTTAGGAGCTGGGGAAATCAGGAACAGTATTTCAGATACACTAGTTCGCTTGATTCCCTTCACCTCAAAAACATCCAATAAAAACCAAAGAAACAACAAAAGTTTTATTAATGAAGAAAGCATCCACAAAATTGCATAATCACTCACGCCAGTTTGGAGTACATAACAAATACAGGCGACTGAAAAGAAATAACTAGACAAGGAGATGAAAAACATGAGGGAGACAAATCTCTAAGTAGAATAAACTAAAAAAGTAAAAGCAAAGAAAAAGGGGGAAAAAAAGCGCCAAATAAAACCCCAACTCTTCCAGTTCCCTCTGTCTATAGAATGAACCATGAGACAATCTCAAATTTCAAATTCCTCTGGATCATCTAACTCTTTTTAAACTGTACCATCTTCCCATCCCACCTGACCCAAAGCTTAGGACATACCCGTAGCATGTCTTTAGACAACCTCATCCCCTGAAGTATCAGTTTTCTGACCATCAAGAAAGATTCTAATATTCTTATTCATGCATGCAGAAGTGCTTGCAGAAGTTATGGGTTGGCAGCCTTTATCTGAAAGCCACCTTTTACTCACAGGTGCAAAGAGAATTCACTGCAGAGGTAAAAAGTCAAAGGAAAAACATTCAGTGATTTATTCTTCCTATTTTTTGATTCAGCTAAACCAGGGTAAATGAAAAGTCCAAGTTACACAGGTTTGGCATATCCTTCACAAAAAAAATAGCAGGGAACTGACTTTTTCCCTAGGTTTGATGTGATGTTCCCAACGCAGCAAGTTCTTTAAGTCCCTCTATTTTTCTTTCCAGCCCAGCATCCTCAATCCTGCCACCTGTATCACGAGAAGCAGTCCCTAAGATTTCTGCAGTCCTGCTGGAGTCAAGGGGGCTGTTTGCAGTGTGCCATCCTCCGCGTGCAAAGGGATATTTCAGAAGGAGACGTGTATGGCTCCTTCTTTCCTTCATCTCTGGAGGGGCAAGGTGGTGCAATTTGCTGCTGGCCTGCATCCAGAGCAAATGCTACTGCATGTGATGGCTGCCCACCCGCTCAGCTGCATGTGCCCCGCCGCAGGGCAGAGCCCGAAGCCCGCTGCTCCCTGCCAGCCAGTCGGCAGCGGGCACACAGCGGAGCTTCATCCTCAGAGCCGGGACACAGCGTCTGGCAGGCAATGTCAGGGTGTAAGGAACACTCCTGTGCTCTTGCAGGAGGATGTGGTCTCTTTACCAATAGAGCAGTAAATCTATCACATAGTCAGCTTGCAGTTTACTATAAAGTATTTTTCCAGGAAAGAAAGTTTCCATCCAGGTGAATTGCTTAAAATTGTTGAAGATACTTAGGGAAGTTTATGAGCTTTTGTTCTTTGTAAAGAATAGGTATGTGAGGGGTTTTTTTTATTATTTATTTTAGAACAGAGTCAGCTAATAGTCACGCAAGGAACTGGCAGGTTTTGCACTCTGAGATAGAGAGCAGTTCCAGGAACTGGACAAACAAGGCAGCATAAAGGGTATTATCATTACAGAGAGAATATACACAGGCACAGTTGTTCATCATACTTATATTTCTATAAAAATTAAGCAAAAATAACAACAGTCCCTATAGTTATGCAGGGAGTCTCCTTAGGGTCCAGATGAGAAATCACAATGGAGTTAAATACAGGCATCTCCAGTAGGACAAGATTATTTGTGTTGTTCCCTGATTGATTGGAAATGTTTCTCCTTTGGATTAGTTAAATTCCATAGGGACAAATATACTATTCAGTAATTTACATGTAAATGAGGATGCATAACATTGCAGAATTATTTTCTTCTGAGTGCCTACAGTTCTGAGTTATGTCAAAACTGTTATGTGAAGATGGGCTTATACATGGCAGCATTTTAAAAAGCACATTTGGGAACTGGGACAGGTTTAATTTTCCTTGTACAGTAAAAATCTTTTGAAGCATAAAAAGAGGTGGACAGGCCACACCATGAACAATGGACCCAGTAAGGAACTAGCACAAATATTTAATGAGATTGAAGGTGACCATAATAGCGTACAGCATTAAAAAGAATGCATTTAGTTTTGTGGATACTTGATTATTTAAAGAGATGCACTGTAAACTGAAACAGCTTGCAATATTTGTGTCAAATCTGAATGATTTACGCTTAGGATGTGCTAAAGCAAACTTTGAAATAAGCAGAAACTGAGTGACAACTCTCTGTGTGACAGTGGCAGAGGGCTAGCTAGCTTTTGTCCAAATGACATATTGGCAGCAATTTTTTGATGACTTATTTTGTTACCCTTTTTCTGAACATGGAAGCTGCTAACCCTTTGCCTTTTCACCAGTCCCATGGCAAAGTAAGAAGGGGAAAAAAGAAATTTTACGTTGAGGCGGTTTTAGGGTCAACAAGAAAATCTCAAACCAATGCAGTCAGAAAAACACTTTTATGCTTAGTGAGAACAAAAGCCAAAGTCTTCTTCTTTTTTTTTTTTAATAAAAAAGAAAAAGAAAGTTTATCTAAAGATAAGCTTCTAAATCCTTAGTTTGGCACCTCGATAAGCAGCCTGGCCTTTCTTAAGGGCTCATTCCCCAGTAGTTTTCACTCCTGTCAAGCTAGCAATACTCAGCATTTCTAATTCCCTAAAAGAAAAAAAATAAATATGTGCAACCAAGAGGAAATTCAGGAATGTGCAAGAGGGAGACCCCAGGTAGATCCAGCCTCCACCTCGCTGCTCGTCCCAAAGTCATGTCATGGGTGGCCCTGCTCTGCTGCTGGGCTGATGGGGAGCTCTGGTGAGTGAGTGAGAACAAAGCAATGGAGACCACCAGCTAACAGCCAGCTGCCCACTTGCAAACAACCACCTCCTCAGTCCTGTGTCCATTTCTCTGCCACTTCTAATCTCCAAAATAATTGGAATGTCAGGCTAAACCAAAAATCCCCTGTGATATCCTGGCAGAGTTACAGAAAGGGCTCCAGTTCGCTTTAGGAGGCAAAAGTATTTGTGTAATGTGCAAGAGTATTTTGTAATGTGTATTTTTTAACCCTCAAGAAATTCTTGAAAACCACATGCAATATCTTAGTCATCCTCATCAGATCCCATGGATAAATTGAGCTTCAGATAACAGCTCATTAACTTAATCCAATTCTATTCAAACAGATCAATACCTTGTTGAAGGAAGATGTTACTCTAACCTTTTAAATAACTAAGAAATATCAAGACACAACAGACCAATACATAGCTACAAATAAATACTACAGGAATGCACAGAACCTTTAGTTTGTAGTGTGCCCTGAAGTTATTTACATGATGTACAGACTTTCTCTAAAAAAGGTGAAAGCCCAAACTCCCAGCCCGGCAATCAGCAGGAGCACAAAAATGTATCATTTTTCAAACCTCTCAGTCTCAGGAGAAGCCAAAAAAAATTAGGAATTTAAGCATAGTCACCAGATCCTGCTTGTGTCTTATTTACACTGGGGTAAGTTTGATGAAATCAGCAGCTGCACCACTTGAAGAAAGCTGGTAGGAGAACAGGACAAGCCCTGATTCAGGCCTCTGCAGGATACACTGGAGATTTCTGAGAGAGTGACTAGGACTTATCATGGGTTTCTGGGGACAAGGTCCCTACACCCCTCAGACTTGAATGCCTGTTGCTTTTCACATCCAGGCAAAGACCACCTGACCCAGAGCCACCTTTGTGGAGGATGTTTGCAGAACATACTTTCATGTTGCACTAATTTGCTCTTCATATGACCTCAGTGGGCTTCCTAGCTTTGAACACTGCACTGTAACCCTCTTGTGTTGTCAAGGGCAGCCCGTCAACAACGCTGCTACCACTCCTTACAGGTGCTCTTACGTGGCATGGGAACACTAACGGGTGTAGCAAAGTGTGCAGAGGCACACGGGATTCCTGCAGAGGAGAGGATGTCCCTCCTCTTGCTCAGGCTGTGCACTGGAGCCCCTGGTGACTGCATGGACTGATGCCATTCTGCATGGACCATGCCGTCCATGGCCAGCAAGCCTGCTGACCAGTCGGACTACCCCAGCTGACAAGACTGACAGGCCTAAGCACCAGCCATTGACATTATTTGAAATCTCTCCTGTTTCACAAGCTGTATTAGGGATTAGAGGGAGGAGATGGAAAGTGGAAGCACACTTGCTTTCTCAAAGAAGCACACTCACAACCATCCATGCCAAGCAGCCAGTGCCATCTGAAGAGCATTTGGAACTGGCTCTTTTATATTACATGCTCTTCTTCAGCCAAGTGTCAGGAGACCACTCTTCTGAGTCACCAGCCTGAACAGTGGGATAATCTGCTCCAGCCACCTCTCTCAAGAGAAAGGGAACAAGCAGCATGGATACCTTCATTTCAGCTCAGCTGCCACCCGCAGCCATTCCCATGGGCAAACAGCCCTTGGCTGGGACAGGGGGTAGCAGTTGCAATGACACAAAGGCATGAAAGTTGTTCATCGTGGTCCCAACTACTTTGCCTGGGGTAAAATCTTCAGGCTGAATGTTGCTAAAACTGATCAAGCTGAAATTCTCAAAAGTGGCTGGTGACTTTTTATGCTTTCCCTGAGAAACCTTAAGGAGGGCCCAGTTGGAAATCATCTGCTGAAACTATGGTCTGCTTAAGGGCTGCAGGTTGGAAACTCAAAGCCAGAGATGGTCAGATCTTGTTTGATGTTTACTCTGCCTTTTAAATCAGAAAGGCTTTTCCAAGCTTTCCCCAAATCCAGAATTCAGCGGTTTTCCCCCGCAGTAGCAGACAGGTCTGTGTTATGCTCATCTGACACTACTGAGCATCATAGAGGGACCTAAGCAAATGCATCTTCAAAACCTGATGCTGTAAAACATGTTTGGCCAGCTCCATCACCTCAGATGTTGCATTTACATCAGTGAAGCCACATTTACACCTCAGGAAGCTGCAAGTCAGGGCTTAATGCATATTACAGTGATGCCTTTTCATGGACTGGTCCTTCATTTCTTGTTCGGGGAAGACAGAACAGATAGCACAAGTGGGTCCTTTTTCACCATGGGCTTACACTCGTACAAAATAAATAACAACAGCAGGGTCAGTGGGGTTAATGAGGTAACTTCAACTTCACCCTGCAATATCTTTCTTTTGCTTCCCCCAAACATATCAAGACACTATAAAAAGAAGCCAGAGCTGCTAACGAAGAACAAACTCAACTTCAAATTTTAACAAGAAAAAGGTAAGCATAATCAAACACAAAGCCCAGAAGCATATTGATTCATCTCCAAGCACAGTGAGGTGTTGGATTTGCTATTCCCTTTTGCCTGCGCTCCACAGCTGAGGCTGCACATTTGTGCCCAGCGCTTATGGTTCCTGTAGCGAATACATCTGTACAGCAATGGGCTTCTTGCCAATTAGCTTTTAACTCCAGCTCACATTTTCTGGATAGATTAAATACCAAACCTGCTTTGCAGAAGACACAACATCCTTCACATTGCATCACTGAATTAGCATCTGTTACTATAGTGCCTGGGTGTTATTTCCTAGATGACCAGGGAACTGCCAAGTAAGCTCACCCACCCAGGCCATTTAATTTTCAACATCCATTTTTTTAAAAGGCAGGAAGCCGGCAAATGAAAAGAAATGCCAGCAGAGCTCAAAGCCTCCCTGTCACCTCAGGGCCCAATCCTGTAAAATACCAATATTGCCTGTGAAAGGTTGAGTGCTCTCATGCTTTGCTAAGCTTTTTCTGACAGCTGGGAGAGCCTCAGCAGCCTGCAGAGCTGCTTTCCTTACAGAGAAAAGGGGACATCCACTGCTCATCTACTGAAGCCTTTCTACTTTGGTTCAGTTGTTTCTTTTTTAAATAGATGCACAAACTCTTTTTTTCCACAGTTCCTTTAATGCAGAGCTGTTTTTGCACCAAGCTGAGTCCAATAAAACTCCACTATCTACAAACAGTGTTTCTGTTGCTCAGCTGTCTAGAGACTGCTCTCAGGACTGGTCTTCCTTGTCTGCAGAGAGTAAAAATGGGAGTACCAAAGTCCTAAATGAAGGGAGGTGTGAACATCTGAAAAAGCAGCAACAGCCTCAAAACTGTCAACAAAACAGATAATTCTCACACCACCCAGCTTCCCACGCGCAGCATGGCCCCTCCTCTCACGTACAGTGTGAGAGTCTCTTTGCAGGACTACAGGGAATGCCCAGATAGGTGAGGAAAAAAATTCAATCCAAAGCTTGAAAGGGAAGAAGCTGCCTGGCTCTAGAGAAAAAAAAGCTACTTCTCAATTTACTGATAATCTGACACCACGGCTGGGATCCATCTCAGTCACCTTTCTCTTCAGGAAATACCTTGCCTAATACATGCTAGAATCACATTTGCTTATTTCCCCACCAATGTAACCCATTTTTGACACCTTGTTACTCTGAGTGGGTTTCATCTCACCTGACTTAAGATACGCACACTACAGAGTTATTCACCTTGGGCTCCCCTTGTAGTTAAAGTGAACAGAAAGAGGCACTTTCAGGGAGAGAGATTATTCTGACCCGTTTTAGACCTCTAAAATGAAATAAATCCTGCCCACACTGACTGTAGTGACGAGACCTCCGTTGCTTTAAAGACTGTTGAGAGTAATGAGCTCCAATGTAGATTACCTACATTAAAAGAGATAAACTTCCAACATATCAAACTGGCAGCCTGTCCAAATTGTTCTGCCTGTGTAGCAGCCATTTCCAAAACACCACCTCATGGTTTTCCAAGTGAATTTGTGCTTGGGTCCTAATGGTATCAGTCTTAATAGTTTTATTTACAGCCTTATTAAATATTTTGCAGCAGTGGTGTTTTGCAACAAAGATCCTGGCAATCTGCAAAAGGCTTGAAGTCTGTTGATCATCTGTTCATCTTTCCTGGGTGTTATTTGAACTGGATGCTAAACCCTTCTGGGAACTACCTTTGGACTGTAAGAACAGCCCTCCACAACTAGCTATACAGAAGACCAGAGGTTAGATGCAAACAGATAGCAACCAGTGGGAGAAAACGCAGTCTCAAGATGGTAGGACACACCGAATCATTTTAAAATCATCATTTTCTAGCCACCGGACAATGTCAGATATTCAAATGTCAAATGAAACCAACTTAAAAAATGTCCCTACAAGAAAAGAAAATTCGTATCAAACCCGAGATTTAGGTATTTGCCTCCAGCCAGCTCTGAAGAGTAAGTCTCACCAGAAGTCATGAACCTCTCTTATGCAGCACTAGAGACATGTGCTGTGGGAGTTAGCCTGTTGTCTTCCCACCCTGCCTCGGATGCTGGGTTTGGGTTTTTCACTGCAGACTGCATATCGCGTAAATCAATTACAGCAAACTCCAACAACATTCAGAAGGAAACAAGAGTGTGAATCACATACAAAAGTTATAAAGTACTCACCAGGTCGCCTGTCCCAGGTTTTTCCATAATAACTGGGGGAAGCAGTAACCCTGCAGGAGAAGTAGGGTCTGGGTTGAGTGCCCCGGTGCCTCCTCCTATCAGGGAAACCACACCATTGCAATCCACTGAGCTGTTCCTTTTGCCCGTCTGGGTGTAGTTGGGAGTAGTAGGGTGAGAACTATGGCTCACTTGACTTTGCACGCTCGGACGCCTCCCAGATCTTGGAATTAAGAGAGAGCCCCGGTGGCTTTCATTTTCCCCAGCAGTGCTGATCTCATCATCGGCAAAATCTGTTTCGGAGCCAGTGTCTCTGCCACGGAGTCGGAAACTGAATATGCTTCCGTGGCTGGTTCTGCGCTTCACCAAGTTTGCACTGGGACCATAACTAATGCCAAGGAGAGTCTAGAAACCCCCAGAAAGGAAAAAGGGGAAAGAGAAACAACATTTTGCAACATGTTTTCAGGAGCGAGGAAGGTCTGGGGAGAGCAGTAAGTTCCATTTTAAATCAAGTGCTTCAGAGAAAGATTTAATTACACGTATTCAACCTTCGCAAAGTTAAGAGGTTGAATAGTCATTCCTAGCCATTAGGTATTTGTCTAATACTTGACAGTTAAAGATGTACTGAAATAGGAAGGGTCAAGGTGGCATTCGCCTCGTAGCGTGATACTTCCTTTGCTTCTACTTCCCCCCCATCTGATAAGTGCCAAAGGATCTGGGATGGCAGCACAAGGAGTGGAAGACAGGAGCAGGGAAGGGAATCCAACTCCAGTTTACTGCATTATCACACATCTTCATAACAGCTAGGGAAGGAACGTTGCAGTGGGAGAAGAAGAGATAAAGAAATAGGTCAGGAAATGAACTGCAGGGAAAATGAGAAGAAGAGGGAAGAAGAAGAAGCAGAATACGACGGAAGAAGGTGATAAAGGAAAAAATAAAAAAACAAGAGCAAGAAGAGGGATATGGTTTATTAATTTGTAGAATGATTATCCCAATGCACGTGGCTGCTTTAAGGGGTAGGTAACCTCAGTACACAGCAGTCTCCTTCACACCCAAATACCAGCCTTGACGAGCCACTCTGACATTAGCTAGTGAGAGTACAACTCTGACAGAGCATCAGCAAGATGTAGCCAAGCACTAAACACACCTAAACCCTGGCAGAGTAAAAAGGATGTTCAGAAAATGCATAAGGAATTCAAGTCTATCCCCTTCCCTCATATCTGAAGAGGAAATTATTGGAATAAGAGCATTTAGGCAGAACATACTTTTGATTTTATGCCCTGTACGGAATTTTCAGCTTCTTCAGAACTTTCTCATGAGACAAGTGTATATGAAAGAGAGGTCAGATCTCCACAGCATCCACAAACCAGACAAACCAAATGAAGCCTGATTTCATTTCGCACTGTAGCTCACACCACTGAGTTACGTAATGATGCTATTTTGTGACACTGGTACAAGGAAGAGTACAAAAACCAGGCCCCTTCTAACTAAAAACAACCCATTTGCATTGCTACCAAATTTTGACTGGTCAAAAATCCATGCCTGGGTTTCCATGGCATAGTCATTGAGACTGATTTCTGATGGCAACACGCTTCCAGCTGCTCAGATTGCATCTGAATGATGACTCAGCCTTACTCCCTCCAACCATGCCAGATGTGCCTTGCAGAGAAGATTTACCATAAGCTTTGAAATGTGTCTCCCATGTTTCTCATGCATATGACATCCAGGGGCGAAAAGTGAAAACAAGAAATATTAATCTAAGAAACAAAGTGGCAATGCACAGCTCCAATCCACGGTCATTCTGGTACGTGGTGTCTTGAAACCCATCCAGAATGAAGCTAAAGAGCAATTCTAGCTTTAACAAAGGTGTAATTTGTAATGCGACCCCCTCAACCAATGAGACAACAACAAAAACTATTAGATTAAAAAATGCATGTCATTTACAGAAATCCAGCTCTGTGTAAATTTTGCGTGCTGGAGACTCATTAATTGGTAACATTTACTGATATCACTTACATGTTTTCTATGAGCTTTTTATGGCTGCCAGATATCCCTAAATTCACTGACAAGAAAATATAAACAGACTTAGCCCATTACATGGCTATTCAGAAAAACAAAATAAACTGATTTAAACTTTGCCCTCAGTTAAGCAAAGACAAATTATCTGAAGCTATTTATGATCATTTGATACATACAGCATGTGCAAATTCATATTCATGCATGTCAGTAACATTTATATAAAACCCTATTTAACAACAGTCTCACTCTATTTTTTTCCTTGCAATGAAAAGTAGAAACAAGTGCCACAAAGTTTTGACTTGAAGGCAACTAGCAAAGGAATATAAGATGTTAATAATGTCTTTGTACAGCATTTAAAAAGCCCTCAGAGACAAGTTTCCTCCTTTTCTCCTCCTCGCTTTTCTTTTTAAGCTTTGTAGGTTTCTTCTAAGAATTTTTTATCTCTAGTAGGGATAGGATAGATATAATCAGATGAATGAAATTAAAGTAAGAAGATAAACCAGACTGTAGGTAATTTTGAAGCAGAAAAAAAAGTAAAAAAGAAATTTGAAACAAAATAGATTCGTAAGAATGTTTAATTAATTTTGAAAATAAAGTGGTAATATGTTTCCTTCCACTGTTCTAACACATACTGTCTGCAGGTCAGTTATGATATTAAATATCTGATTCTTCTTTACAGCTGAAAGTTTCAGCTTTAATTGCCTATTCAGAGCCTGGCCTACCTGGCAAAGTGCAGTGTGAAATAAGTGACGTTTCAGACCATGGCTTACCATTCTCCTCTGACCATCATCGTAGTCACACTTGGGATTCCGTTGGTCTTCCCCATACTCTTCTGCTCCCAAAGATTTCTTTTTCTTTCGCCTATTTCTTCTTTCCTTGGCATTTTTGGATGCTAAAGGTGACATTTCCAATGAACTAAGTGACATTGAATCAATTCCTTTAGCAGCTAGTGCCTAAAACAGAAGATGGTAGAAAGTGTAAAATTTATTATTTGAATTAAGGATCTCAGTGAGAACTAATAATTGCTCTGCTCAGCAATTATTTTTCATTTTAAGTTTAATGGTTGTATAGGAGATAAATTACAAATTTCAGGTGGTCATTAACTGCAAAACTATCTTACATGGCTGGAACCGGTCTTAACCTGTTTCTAAGCTCTACATTTAGCCACAGGAAAATAAACAAGCGAGACAGGTTCCTAGTACAAATGCACACGTGCAGGTCTGCCACCCAGATCCTATGATGGAGCATTAGGAATGGCTGCATAAAATAATGTGATTTATGTAAAGCTCACACACAAGTTCCTTCGACATTTCATGAGAGGAACAGCCTGTGTGCACACTCTTGCAGGCATACACTGTGCACACATCTCTGGAGTAACACTTCTGGTGCCAGTCAAAACAAATCTCAAGCTGGGGAACCTCAGATTAAGCCCCCCCTGGACTTCAGCCCCTTGAACCAGGAGGGCTGGACAGGAGGACAGCCAAGCTGGCTGCTGGGATTTTTCCTCCTCTATCACACAGGGATGCTAGGGACAGCAAGCAATTCAGCTGGCACGTTTTGTAAACACTTATCCCAAGCAGCAGTGCAGGCAGCTATGATACGAGATGCAAAGAGAAAACTGTGGGCTTAACTGGAGATAAGGTGGATTTTGCTTCGCTGTGCGCTTCAGTGCTGTGCTGGCTATCTGGTGGGATCGCTGCAGGAGCTGACTGATAACAGACCAACAGCTAGAAACCCAGTGGAAGCCGAATGGGAAAGCCTGAGCATACAAAGCCACAGCCTTGGAAGCAAATGAGCAGCCAGGAGGAAGAATCGATAGGTGCAGGGAGGAAGCTGCAGCCCCCGCCAGCGCACTGGGTCCCCATCCCTGGTGCGGGCGGGAGGAGCGAGGGGGCTCTGAGCACAAAGCACGAGGTCAGGTTTGGAGGTGCCGGTGTCTCAGCGGTAGCCACATCAGCGGCCTGGAGACAAGCCCATTTGCAGACCCCCCAGCCGAAATACATAAAGCGAGTGAATTAAAAAAAAAAAAAAACAAAAACCTCTCCAGGTTCCCAAGAACCCAAGAAATGGATGAATCCTCAGTGCTATTGTCTGTAAGCCACTAGAATCAAACAGGCAATCAGCTCTCCGCAGCAAAATACTCCCTTCCTCCCACAGGCATCAGTCCAAGGAAAGTGAAGGCACTTAACAGTCATGTAAAGAATCAATCATGTATTTCAAGGAGCAGCGGTAGCTCTATCAAGCTGAGAGCACAACAAAACTTAATTCCTGTGGGAAATATCTTTCATGAGCAAGCTGCTTAGAGCAGAGAGGAGGAGGGCTCAGACACCAGTCTAGGCTGTTCTTTTTTTTTTTTTTTTTTGAGTCAATTGATTTAATTGCTATGCTGAAGTGCTTTCTCTTCATAAAGATTCAGCAAGTCTTTTGGTGTTAAGTTCAGGTTTAGGAATGTGTTAGACCAATTGTGTAAATTGACTGATAGTCCCCAAGCAGGCCTATCAATTATATTTGTGCTCTCTTTATACTGCACAGTGTAAAAGCTGGTCTAAAGAGTTTTGCTTTTCCTTTCTGATTGCCACCATATTTTATTGATCTAGAAAATATTGTAGGTTGTGCTACTAAGTCTGCTGTACTCTTACTGCAAAATAAGCTAATTTTCAGTTTCTTAGCATTTTCTTACCTATCGCTTAGGTTGAAGTGCTTCTGCCCTATGTACCTTTTTCAGTTGTTGAAAAAGGATTTGGATCAAATTGTTTCTCAGGGCATGGATGATGTCCCCATGTCCTGTCTATCTATCCTTTCTGTTTGAGTTCTCATGGCTGGACTGTGTCCTTCCCCTCAGGCACTGCAAGCCATAACCCACTGTGATAACTCCCAGGGAAGGAGTTTGGGATCGGGCATGTCTGGCAAGGACGGGTGGTGGCTGAAGGATGGAAGCAAAGCTTAGCTCACACAAGCCCTGACATGGGGATTACGCAGTTCTATCTCTAGGACTCTTGCCTCAAGGCAAGAACTTAGTGGTATGATGACAAGTCAAAACCAAAAGCTTCATAAAGGCTTGGAGAGCAAGATTAAAACTGAGTAGCTCTGATTGGGGTGAGACACCTGAGAAGGACACCTGAAAGCTACATGATGTAGCAGACCACTCAATTCACTTTCCTGAGCCTCTTCTTCCAGATGTCTAATTTGAGATGTTGGGGGCTGATTTGCAGAATTACGGAGCTTCACTAATGAACATGATGGACCCCAACTGCTCTATTCCTAAGTTTCCTTTCCATAAAATTGGGATAATTCTCCAGGAGTATAGCAAATACAAATGAGTATTTTTGAAGCACACAGAATCTGAGCAGTGACAAGAGGCACTGAAAAACCTCTGAAGATGTTAGTCATTTTGTCTTTGAAGCAGGCTTTGAATGCCTGAGTTGGGAAGTCTGCTCGAGCTGGCCTAAGGCTACAGAACAAATGATGAGAAAGAGAAGAGCTGTGCTTGAGTCATGCACTGTCCACCCTTTGTACTGAGCAGGGCACAGGAAAAATGAGATGTGGTCAGCTGAAGAAAAGACTATGTTATAAAGCATATAGATAAATGGGAACAATTTAGGTTTTCACGAGCAACCTTCATTTTGACATATTCTGACTTTCACGACTTAATGTTCCTTTTCTGTGTACATACAGGCTTAACTGAAATCAAAGCCTTCAAAAGGAAATTCTTAAATATCTTTAATTATAGCTGGGGTTACCAAAGTTGACTGTTATTAGGAAGAGCTCAGCTGGAGTCAAAACACATTAAAATTTGTATAAAATAGGTACAAGTTGGAGCTCAGTTTGCTCCCTTAGGTTATGGCAGAAAGTTACTCTGTTCAAAGTGCCTGTATACGGACTAAATTGCATTCACCTATTACTTAAACCATCAAAGAGGATCTTTAAAAGGACTTAAACGATGTATAAGCCTCTACTAGCACTTTGTCAAGGGTGAATTGCATTTTCTATTTTATTTCCAAGGATTTAAATGGGTTTTGGATTAGGCCCTGAAGCCATATGTACCCAAAAGAAAATTATGTATATTAGTTTATATTGTGTATAAGGATTTATTTCTCTGAACTACAGTGCTACGTGCTATTTCAGACTAATTTTCTTATTGTCTTCTTGTTCACAGCACCTAAAATGTTCTCTTCAGCTGTTTAATAAAGGCTTTCTACCCCACACAAACCACAGGCAAATTAACTAGTGCTATTAGGGCTGTATGGCTACATCCACCATTTGGCCTCCCTGTTTTGTTTAAGCTTATGACATAACATTAAATCCATATCCTTTGCATAATTTGCAAAGCTTAACCTCAAGATCTGCCTGTTTACTTTTTCGGGAATGAAGTCGTATATGCTTCAAACAGGTTATCCTACACGAGGACATGGTTTAGTGGTGGACTTGGCAATCATGGGTTAACAGCTGGACTCGATGATCTTAAGGGTCTTTTCCAACCTTAACGATTCTATGATTCTATGATACATCTTTACCGTCAGTATCGGACAGTTGGATATTCATGGCAGATTGAATGAGGCAGTGAGGAAATGAACATGAGCTGAAGTGATGGTGGAAGAAGGTTCAGCTGGGGCTATGGCTGAGCTGCCAAAATAGCTGTTGTGTGCTCAGATGGAGATGTACTTATACTATCATTAAAATGTCTTGTATGCCAACGAATATAAATTCCTCTGCTGGCATAAGTGGTACAGTTAAACCAATACAGCTCTGGATATGTAAACCCTAAACAGCCCCAATCCTAGCAGGAAGAGACATCCTTTTTCTTTCAAAAAGGATTGTAATAACTCTGTCCAGGACTATAAACATTAAGCTGCTTTCCAGCAAACTCATACTTTGGTTATCATATAACTGTAAAACAAAGAGAATGTGAATCTGAAGGTACCATCTGTTCAAGTTACCCAAGGCTAAGCATGTCACATAGTTTACTGACCTCCTGCTCTTTCTTTAACATCTCCATGGCTTCCCGAAACTTTCTTTCCTTCTCCTCTGTTTCAGCAATAGTGGCTTGGTTCTGCTCTTCATACGCCATGGCCACAACAGCCAGAATCAGGTTGACCAGATAAAACGAGCCCAGAAAGATGACCAGCATAAAAAAAAGCATGTAGATCTTCCCAGCAGATCTGAGAGTCTGTAAACACAGAAATAAAATCACTAACACTTGTTTACAATGTTTTTTAAAAGCATAAAAAATTTTTTTGAAAACTTAGATTTATAATATAATTGAATTCAGCCTTTGTTACTAGCCCAAACAGAATCCTTTTGATGACAAACAACAACCACATGCAAGGAAATAACCTTCTCACCAATAAATTTTTATACCTTATTCAAAAATTATGTGCCTTGCAGTAGAATTAATTTTTAAAAGAAGAATGTTTTCTTCCTTTACCAAATATCTCTGCTGGTTTTCTTTGAGAATAGATAATCTTATAATCAGTTGCAGTGAAAGCTTCCCCCACATAGCTCAATCTATTTTTGTCCAGTGCATCGAAACTTTCCAAGCGGGCTTCATGTTGTATCCCTTCAGATGTCTACAGCCTAGGTCCTTTACATTCAGTGAGGAGAAAATGTACCTTTAGGGTGCAACTCATTGGAACGGTATTTAGACGTCTGCCTCAGGATAAGAAGAAGCAAACCTTGGGCACCGTTGCCTGGTTCTCCATCAGATTTATAGGCATAACTGGAGTTCAGGGTAACAGGCTGAGCTTATATTACAGCTATGTCCCATGGTCAATGACTTGATGCTAGTGACAGAAACCACTGTGTGATATTATAAGGTCAAATAATAAAAGGGAGTGATGTTCACCCTTATTTGCCATGACAGTTTCAGCCTTCCAGAGTTGTACATGCAGCTCTGTGCCAAGTAAGTGAATATAGTTGTTTAAGGAATCTTCAATTTAATTGTTTTACATTTTCCTGAAATGAAATTGTATAACTGGCTGCATGTGAAGCTGAAATCCCCAGTACCTTTAAAGATGTCTACCTTAATACCTTCAGAGTAGTATCTGTCAGCACTAACAACCTTGATTTCCTTACGAGTATGCTTAGGTTTTGGCAATTTTGAGGGGCAGAAGTAAATCTTCAGTGGCTTCATGGACAGAGTATGTAATTCAGTACCAAACTATCCCAGCAGTTCTTCAGAGTTCACATACGTTTGAGGAAATGCATGCTAAAATGAGCATTTACTAGCAGATCACCTTGCACACATGACTGTAAGTTGACTGTAAGTTGTCCATGATGAAAAGTTTGCAGAAGGGAGAACTGAAAGGTACCAGGTAGTCTTGCCATCCGGTGAATTTGTATTCATTGTCATGCCTTGCAAAACCAGATACGCCAAGTACACATGTGCTTCTCTAGTCCTTTTTTGAGCTGGCCTCAAAAGATTAGTTCATGTTACACCAGCCACCAAAAAAATCATTAAGTGGTGATGTGGCAATCTTTCTTCACTTAGATTGAGGTGAATCACCCATTCAAAGTGCCTTTCTCTCAGTACCAATTTTCCCCCCTTTCCCCAAACACCCAGCCTAATGTCTTCTGGTATCACCACTCCTAAGAAACGAAATTAATTGTAACAATTGATGGCCTTTGTCCACAACACAGACAGGGCAGTTTACTTAATAATCAGCAATTCTTTCTTGTCTTTATATATTGGATATATAACTGTAACAAGATGATGTGTTTATTTTATATTTTTTAACAGTAATAAAACAATCTCACACCTGTTGATAAAGACGTTCCCAATAATCTTGAGTCATGAGACGGAACAAAGAGAGAAAAGCCCAGCCAAAAGTATCAAAGCTTGTGTAACCATGGTCAGGATTTTCCCCAGCCTTCAGACATATATATCCTTCAGGGCACGTGCTGCAAAACATGGAAGACAATACATGAAATGCATCATAGATGGCCTCAGCATGAAGAAACTGATTTCCAAGGGAACATATTGAATGGTCTTGGTTAAGGGCACAGATCCTCAATTATAAATTTCTTCACTGGGTGAAAACACAGGAAACAGGTGGATGCTAACTTCACAATACCAAAGATCTTTGCAATGTCATTTTTCCTTGAAAGGATAAACTGGAAAATGGTAACCATAGCTCGAGCTGTAATGGCAAATGAGCACCTAGCATTTCAGATGTTTGGAATAGACAGAAATTAGGTGCGTAAGCAGAACTTAAGTGCTTAAATATGTTTTCTCGTGGCACTTATTCCTAAATAAGGTACGGTTGGATTCGATGATCTTAAGGGTCTTTTCCAATCTTAACGATTCTAAGAACCATAAACTTGGTGTCTTCTGTTACAATTGTGGGTAATACTGTGATGGTGAACCTGCTTTTCCGGTTACATAGTCTGACATCAGCATGTGCCATCTGAGCACCTTCCCGATTGCTTACTGTGCCTGACCTTGCGCTCACCCCCTGCAAGGACTAAATCTTTAATCTAAGAAACCCAGCCCTTTGTTCCACTCACTGCTGTAGTCTGAGGTCATGACAATTTTTCTGTTTCTGCCAGGAAAATATTTTCCTTGTGTGTCTTGCAGATTCACGTATTAAATGGCATGCAGATAGCATGAATTTCACTGGCTCTCATTAAACTTTGAGACTCTTTACAAGTAATTTTCTAGTCTTATATGCCAGAAGAGAAAAAGAATGCTATCAGTGGTACTATGTAAGTAATGAATTTCATCATCAAGTGAAACACAAGGTAGAAGAGACCAAGGTAGAAGGAGCCACCCTCTCTCCCAGAATGGTGCAATATGAGTAGTCAAAAGACCCCACACCTCTTGCATATCACAAGCTGCTTTCCAAACATACGATATGCCCCATAAGACACTGAAGACATAGAGCAATATGCAAAGGCTTACTGCTGTATGTATCATAGGAAGAGAATATGAGATGAAGGACGTTGCCAGTGTCCTAGAGCCCTACAGTATTTGGGAATTTGTTAGGTGGGAACCATCTAACTATCTGGAGGAGCAGATCTCAGCAGAATTTGCAGTAATGCCAGCTCTCTCTGTTCTATTTATACTTCAGATAGAGATGAACCTGGTAAGATTCAGTGCAAATTCTAGCTGACACAACTAGGAATGGTCGGAATAAGTGGGATTGTGAAAGCACTTTGTCAGAGGTCAGAGACATTGAGAGAGACCAACTTCCAGGCAGTGTTTTGATAACAGAGCAAGACCCTCTGTCCTAGCAGATGGTGAGCTTGATGTTCTGCCTGTCAGATGGAGGAATCAAGGTTTTCTGAATGGTCTCGGATAGGATGATTATTGTAATATCCAGCCATTTTAGACACGTCACCAGTCATGCAGAGTGTGTCCAATGTGTACTGCTTTTAACTTTTTTTTCTTCCAGTAAAAACCCATAGAGTGTTTCAATCACTGCTATTTTTTACCAAAGCAGAATATTGTCACAAACTGAAATGCAAAGCAGTAATAGAAATAAAAGTAATGTTTAAAACGCCACCCCAGAAAAAAAAAATTGAGTCCTGAGAAAGCAGAGTAAGTCTCAGTATGAAAATCAAGGATGGTCTTTTTTTAAGTATCAATTTTATACTGATATAAATCAAATCTTTACAGCACAGGATAGCAACTCTATACTGCATCTCAAGAAGAGAATACATTGCTATAGGTTTTGAAGTTAAACAAATCTATGGTGTCAGCCACCAACACCAGACATTCAACAACACTTTAAGAAGCTTAATTTAATATCATTAGTCAAGCACAAATTTTTAAGTAAATCTGCTTTGAACGCTGAAAAAAGGAGTGCTGAAGCATGGCAAAATGTGTGCATATCCTTGTTTGCAGTAGTCTTCAAAAAAGCAATAAAAAATGAAAACGAACAGTTGATGTTTAATGAATTAAATGTAACACACAAGTGAGAATATAATAAGTGATTCTGCCACCTCAGGTAGAGCCAAGTGAGTTTATATCAGTTGAGAATTTAGATTAAAGTAACTATATCTCACAAAGAAAGAAAGAAAGAGACACTTCTAATTTTTTTCCCTGCCAACCTAGAAATGCCTCCTTCTAGATCTTTCCTACTTTGAATACCTATTGTTTCTTGGTAAGAGCCACATTTGAATAAAAATTCCAGTAACATTACCAAGTTAGAAGAGAATAAAATGCAGAAATCTCAGCGCTTTTCCCCTAAAATATGCAGATGCACACTGAATCTCTCTTGTATATCCATGTCCTTTTTTGAGGTAGCCTTTTCACTAAATCTCCTTTCTCCCAAAGGCAGCATCTACTGTCACTTTCTGCCATAGGGACATGAAATTTCTGCCTATGATCTGCTGCTGCAGACAGCATTCAGTGCCTGTGATGCATTGCTGACACTCTTCAAGAGCTCTGAGAAATGGATCCTCTGGGTTCCTGAGAAGGAAATCCTTTCCGCTCACTTGCTCTAAGACATCGTGTCCAGAAAGGACATTAAAATTTTTGTAAGGCTCATTCCTTTTGCCATGAGAAAATGACTGCACTCTCACACTGTGCTTGGCTGGAAACTGAGTGACCATGTTCAGAGGTGGACAGACTTTCCTTAGTCTTCCATGAAAGACCAGTCCCAAGTGGCCCCATTGAGCTGGTCTCGTTGCTTATGTTTTAATGTTATTACTAATGGCTAAAATGTCTGAATATAGTTGTGAGAAACTTGATGGCGATTACTTTAATGGTGAACTTAAGCCTAGGCAGGGCAGTCGGTTGGAAATTAAGTTTCAGCTAGAATAAGGTGCCTAAAATCTTAGGCAAAATGGAAATTTTGCCATTAATTGCAACATGAGAGAGAGACTTTCCTCTTAATCTCCTCACCATTTTGGACACAAAAGTTGGAAAGAAAGGAGATACTAGGAGCATTGTACTTCGATGTATGTTCATAGGAAACTCTCGGCACCATAAGAATAGAGGCTACAAAGTCACTCTTAGGTTCGCTGCCAATGTTGCTTCCTGGGGAAGCTCTGTTTTGATGCAGAAGAACATTGGAGCAACTGCTCAAAGCACTTGACCACAACTGTTTGGAAAGCCCTAGGACATGGAGATGCAACTCCTCTGACTGTGAAAATGAGCAATGGTACCTCAGATGAATATATTCTGTTTATAATACAGTTAGTATTTTTTCATGTTTCATTCTGTCTTTATGTGTCTGTAAAACCTTTTCCACTCAGCAGTAGATTGCTGGTGTGAAAAGTCTGTCTGACTCTGCAGTGAGTGTACACGGCTCTCTAATATTAAGTTCAGGTGTAAGAGCATTCAAACGAGGTATCTTCAGCCCGAAAAGCATGAACTCCAGCTCAAAAATGTTATTAGTGTGAGCTCACATCCTTCTTATGGAGACTAGACACTTGAGACAAAATATCCTACTTTTCAACTCCTTGTTCTTGCTCACCCTCTTTTGTAGCCGACAGAAGCGATAACCCATGGCATACGGGAAAGCGACAAAAACAAAATGCTGCTTTCCAGAAAAACACTCTACAGAAATTTAGGTGTAAGACTCTCCCATGAGAATATTATTCTGCAACTGACACCATTTCTTCTGAGGATTTTTTTAAGGAGTCTCAAGATTTTGCTGAAGTGTCTTCGATGTATAATATTGAGCCTTCCCCTTTGGATTTTTTAGCAAACTCTTTAGCTTCTTTTACCTCGGGGAAGCATTTCACAGGATTGCACTCTCCTCTGATGCACAGGGGTGGGCAACAACAACAAGCTACATAAATATAACATCCTCCACAGGAGCCTCACAGGATGCTGTTCAATTGATCACAATAAAATTAGTGTCATCGATTCAGAAAAGTTAAAAGCATCAGTCTACCTACCTATCCATCAGGTTGTAATCACCATTGTAAGCTGGCATTGGTACAGAAAATTAAAGAACATAAGAAACAGCTTTGTTTTAAATAACACAGATTGGGAATGCCAGAGAGTTGTAGCTGAGGGGCATAACTACAAAATGCTCTGGCTCAAGAGTTTAATCTAGGCAAGCCAAATAACCTGCTGATCCAGGCCGTAGCGGCCAATAGGGTTGTGCAATAAAAGAAGATTTGTAAAACAACCATGTGCTGAATTGTAACATTCAGACCCTGAAAACACAGGGAAGGTTGTCCATGTGTTACCAGGAGTTAGCATCAAACAGCTGCTAATGTTAGCTACAACATCTGTAAGGTAAAGGCTGCACTTTCATTCGGTTTAGGTTGCAAAGGCACACTAGGGCTTGCTACACCAAATTGCTTATGAAAGAAGCAATAATGGGAGATAAAGTGCATACCACAGACACACCAAAAATTAAAAACCCAAAAACATACTGTGGTAAGGGCCCCTTAGTGTTTCTGCTTCGGTCACAGCTTAAGCCCAAGAATGCAGAATTCAAACTGAAATGTTTATAGGTGATGTCTTTGACACGTGGCTAATTCCAGAGGAATGGAAACCACCCTAGTGAGCACGGTGGGGTTTCAAAGCCTGGCAGTAAGAGCTGCAAGGACAGATGGTGCCCATGGCCTCCAAGGCTTGTTTATGTGCACGATAGAGTCTTCCTTGACCTGCCTCTCTGTGCTAAAGTCCTCAGACCACAATGGAGAGGCTTAGATCTCCTTTAGGTCACAGGCCTGAGTGCTTTTCTCTGCACTTTCCATCTTTTCTCCCTTCCCTTGGCTTTGAGGGAGAAGACCAGCAGCCAAACAAGGAGTGCATGCTGTGCAGTGTTTGGGGGGGAACAGATAAATATCCTTAGACTAACATTTGCTCCTACCTGACAAGATGAAACTACCCATTCTGAAACAGGATATTTTTTTTTTTTAAAGGGGTGTTGTAAAGGTGACCAGGCATGTGGGAGAAAGGTGCTGAAAGGCAGCAGCACCCCAGCCAAAGCCAG